GACGACGACTGTGGGGTCCCAACTAGGGAACGTCATCAGTGCTAGAAGGGAGGAGGAGGAGGAGGAGGAAGGTGGAGTGGAGGAGAGGGTGAGGATGAGGAAGAGGAAGAGGAGGGGGAGGAGGGAGATGAGGAGGAGGAAGAGGAGGGGGAGGAGGAAGAAGAGGAGGTGGAGGAGGAAGAGGGGAAGGAGGAAGAGGAGGAGAGGGAGTGGAGGAGGAAGAGGGGGAGGGGGAGGAGGAGGAGGGGGAAATGTGGGGTCCTTCTCTGAGTTGGCTTGTTTTCTTGTAGACCTTTCATTACCACACCAGGTAACGTCATCAGTGCAGGAGTTCATTACCTAGTCAGCTCATGAAACGTCTGCAAGAAAACAACCCAGCTCACAGAGTCACGGGACCCCACATTTCCCTCCTCTTCCCCCCCCCCCACAAACCCCCCTCCCTTCTAGCACTGATGATGTTGCCTAGTCCAGAAGCCCCCAACCTTTTGGGCACCAGGGACCACCGGTTCCGTGGAGAGAGGTTTTTCCCCTCCACGGACCGGAAGGTGCCTGGTGTCGTGTGCTGCGGGGGTTCGCTTCTTTGTGCGGACCGGATGCTGGCCCGGTACCGGTCCACAGACCGGTGTGTGTGTTGGGGACTCCTGGCCTAATTGGCTCACGAAAGGTCTGCAAGAAAGCAACTCGGCTCAGAGAGCACTCGGGACCCTCCTCCTCTCTGCAGACCCCCTCTCCTCCCTTCTAGCACTGATGCGGTTCCCTAGCTGGGTCATGAAACGTCTGCGAGAAAACCACCCAGCTCAGAGAGCACCAAGGACCCCACATTCCTCCTCCTCCTCCTCCTCCCTTCTAGCACTGATGCGGTTCCCTAGCTGGGTCATGAAACGTCTGGGAGAAACCCCACCCAGCGCAGAGAGGACCTCTCGGTGATCTTGTACGTAGATCCGAAAGACTCCCCTCTCCTTTTTTTTTTTCTTTTCCCAACACGCTGCACACTTCATCCCCCCCCCCCCGTGTTTTACAAAATGGACGAGGAAGGGGGGGGAAACCATTGCAGGGAAGAGGGGGGAAAAAGAGCAAAAATAAAATAATTAAAAATTAAAAAATGCACTCATCCCCTGTGCAACGTGTGCGCGAAAGGCACTGGAGGCAAGCAAAAAGGAGGCAGGGATCCCATTTTGGCTGCCGGCTGCAGGCAGAGCTGGTGGGATGGGCGTTGAGGAATGGTGTGACGCCCAAGCCGATTAAAAAAAAAAAAAAAGACAAGCAGAGAAGCCGAGTGGATTTTTTTTTTTATGGGGCTTGTGAGTCACGGAGGCTGATGTCAGCAGATTGGATGGGGAGCGGCAACAGGGATGGGGGGGGGAAGAGAGAGAGACTGGGGGAAGAAGAACAGAGGATTGTTGCACCAACGTGGAAAACGAATGGTAAAGCCAGAAGCAGGACACTGCTAGGGCAGGGAGAGAGAAAGAGAGAGAAAGAAATGGAAAGAGAAAGGGAGAGAGAGACAGAAAGAGAAAAAAAGAGAGAAAGAGACGCAGAGAAAGAAGCAGAGAAAAACAGAACGATAGAAAGAGAGAGAAAGAGAGAGAGAGACAGAGAGACAGAGAGAGGAAACAGAAAAAAGAGATAGAG